AGTTCTGTTCTAGTTTCTGTTCTAGTTCTGTTCTAGTTCTGTTCTAGTTCTGTTCTAGTTCTGTTCTAGTTCTGTTCTAGTTCTGTTCTAGTTCTGTTCTGTTCTAGTTCTGTTCTAGTTCTGTTCTAGTTCTGTTCTGTTCTAGTTGTGTTCTAGTTGTGTTCTAGTTGTGTTCTAGTTATGTTCTAGTTGTGTTCTAGTTCTGTTCTAGTTCTGTTTTAGTTCCGTTCTAGTTCCGTTCTAGTTCTGTTCTAGTTCTGATCTAGTTCTGTTCTAGTTCTGTTCTAGTTCTGTTCTAGTTCTGTTCTAGTTCTGTTCTAGTTCTGTTCTAGTTCTAGTTCTGTTCTAGTTATGTTCTAGTTCTGTTCTAGATCTGTTCTAGATCTGTTCTAGTTCTGTTCTAGTTCTGTTCTAGTTCTGTTCTAGTTCTGTTCTAGTTCTGTTCTAGTTCTGTTCTAGTTCTGTTCTAGTTCTGTTCTAGTTTCTGTTCTAGTCTGTTCTAGTTCTGTTCTAGTTCTGTTCTAGTTCTGTTCTAGTTCTGTTCTAGTTCTGTTCTAGTTCCGTTCTAGTTCTGTTCTAGTTCTGTTCTAGTTCTGTTCTAGTTCTGGTCTAGTTCCGTTCTAGTTCTGTTCTAGTTGTTCTAGTTCTGTTCTAGTTCTGTTCTAGTTCTGTTCTAGTTCTGTTCTAGTTCTGTTCTAGTTCTGTTCTAGTTCTGTTCTAGTTCTGTTCTAGTTCTGTTCTAGTTCCGTTCTAGTTCTGTTCTAGTTCTGTTCTAGTTCTGTTCTAGTTCTGTTCTAGTTCTGTTCTAGTTCTGTTCTAGTTCTGTTCTAGTTCCGTTCTAGTTCTGTTCTAGTTCTGTTCTAGTTCTGTTCTAGTTCTGTTCTTGTTCTGTTCTAGTTCTGTTCTAGTTCAGTTCTAGGTGAGTTCTAGCTCTTTATTGAATTCAGATGAATCTATAAATATTACCCAGTTTTCAATAAAAATCCTCCCACTGTTAGTTAAAAAAACACCAACCAAAAACTACTCATAAATAACATGCAAACTCAACATCGATCATATAAATTTTAACCATAAATATTTACAGTTGTTTTTTCACTCAATTTTCTATATAGAATTATTATTTTCAACCAGCATCAAAAACATGATTATAGCCAACGTCAAAAACTACGAATGTAGAAATAAAAATCACAGAATTTAAAAAGTGAAATGTTGAAATTTTTCGTTTAATATTTAGCTTTCTTATATGTAAAAAATTATTTGTTGCTAGATAATGACTTTATGTTGGTTATTAAAAATTAAGCTGTATTAGAAGATTTATTTTATTTATTTAAAACTTTTTACCATACACACATCTAATGATGATGTTACTCCAAACATCAATGGTTTTCTACACATTATACGTTTAGGAAGTCGAGTGTTTAAAGATCAAAGAAATCAAAAAAAAAAAAAACTATATAGAAGGAATTAAATTTAATTTGCTAGAGCTTGTGAAAGTTGTTTGTTTGTTTTTTCTTCCTCTATCTATCAAAAAATTTATTTATTTTTCATTAGAAAGACTTTTGCGGGATTAACTTTATTAAAGTCAATAAACAATATATGGGTTTTCTATGGTTATTGAGAAAGACAGCACGCGAATGGGTAATTAGTTTCGAGGTTTTTTAAATGAAAACTATTAAACAGACATTAAGCTTTAAGTTAATAATATAGAAAGAAAGGTCAATTAAAAGAAATTTTAATTAATTGAAATGTAATAACTTTATTACCCAGTTTTTAAATCAAATTTACAATTATTGACATCGTGTCAACTATAGAACAGCATATTGTATTTACTATAGAACAGTCCATAGTCTGGACTACAGAAAAGTCTATAGTCTGGACTATAGAAAAGTCTATAGTATGGACTATAGAACAGTCTATAGTCTGGACTATAGAACAGTCTATAGTCTGGACTATAGAACAGTCTATAGTCTGGACTATAGAACAGTCTATAGTCTGGACTATAGAACAGTCTATAGTCTGGACTATAGAACAGTCTATAGTCTGGACTATAGAACAGTCTATAGTCTGGACTATAGAACAGTCTATAGTCTGGACTATAGAACAGTCTATAGTCTGGACTATAGAACAGTCTATAGTCTGGACTATAGAACAGTCTATAGTCTGGACTATAGAACAGTCTATAGTCTGGACTATAGAACAGTCCATAGTCTGGACTATAGAAAAGTCTATAGTCTGGACTATAGAAAAGTCTATAGTATGGACTATAGAACAGTCTATAGTCTGGACTATAGAACAGTCTATAGTCTGGACTATAGAACAGTCTATAGTCTGGACTATAGAACAGTCTATAGTCTGGACTATAGAACAGTCTATAGTCTGGACTATTGAACAGTCTATAGTCTGGACTATAGAACACTCTATAGTCTGGACTAGAGAACAGTCTATAGTCTGGACTATAGAACAGTCTATAGTCTGGACTATAGAACAGTCTATAGTCTGCACTATAGAACAGTCTATAGTCTGGACTATAGAACAGTGTATAGTCTGGACTATAGAACAGTCTATAGTCTGGACTACAGAACAGTCTATAGTCTGGACTATAGAACAGTCTATAGGCTGGACTATAAAACGGTCTATAGTCTGGACTATAGAACAGTCTATAGTCTGGACTATAGAATAGTCTATAGTCTGAACCATAGAACAGTCTATAGTTTATACTATAGAAGTCTATAGTCTGGACTATTGAACAGTCTATAGTCTGGACCATAGAACATTCTACAGTCTGGTCTATAGAACAGTCTATAGTCTGGACTATAGAACAGTCTATAGTCTGGACTATAGAACAGTCTATAGTCTGGACTATAGAACAGTCTATAGTCTGGACTATAGAACAGTCTATAGTCTGGACTATAGAACAGTCTATAGTCTGGACTATAGAACAGTCTATAGTCTGGACTATAGAACAGTCCATAGTCTGGACTATAGAAAAGTCTATAGTCTGGACTATAGAAAAGTCTATAGTATGGACTATAGAACAGTCTATAGTCTGGACTATAGAACAGTCTATAGTCTGGACTATAGAACAGTCTATAGTCTGGACTATAGAACAGTCTATAGTCTGGACTATAGAACAGTCTATAGTCTGGACTATTGAACAGTCTATAGTCTGGACTATAGAACACTCTATAGTCTGGACTAGAGAACAGTCTATAGTCTGGACTATAGAACAGTCTATAGTCTGGACTATAGAACAGTCTATAGTCTGCACTATAGAACAGTCTATAGTCTGGACTATAGAACAGTGTATAGTCTGGACTATAGAACAGTCTATAGTCTGGACTACAGAACAGTCTATAGTCTGGACTATAGAACAGTCTATAGGCTGGACTATAAAACGGTCTATAGTCTGGACTATAGAACAGTCTATAGTCTGGACTATAGAATAGTCTATAGTCTGAACCATAGAACAGTCTATAGTTTATACTATAGAAGTCTATAGTCTGGACTATTGAACAGTCTATAGTCTGGACCATAGAACATTCTACAGTCTGGTCTATAGAACAGTTTATAGTCTGGACTATAGAACAGTCTATAGTCTGGACTAGAGAACAGTCTATAGTCTGGACTATAGAACAGTCTATAGTTTGGACTATAGACCGTTCCATAGTCTGGACTACAGACGGTTCTATATTCTGGATTTTAGAACGGTCTATAATCTTGACCATGTAACAGTCTATAGTCTGAACTGTAGAACAGTCTATAATCTGGACTATAAAACAGTCCATAGTCTGGACTATAGAATGGTCTATAGTCTGGAATATAGAATGGTCTATAGTCTGGACTATAGAACGGTCTATAGTCTGGACTACAGAACACTCACAGTCTCTAGTCTGCATTATAGAACTGTCTATAGTCTGGACTATAGAACGGTCTACAGTCTGGACTACAGAACTCTCAATAGTCTGCATTATAGATCTGTCTATAGTCTGGACTATAGAACAGTCTATATTCTGGACTATAGAACATTCTATAGTGTGGACTATAGAACAGTCTATATTCTGGACTATAGAACTATCTATAGAACAGTCTTTAGTGTGGACTATAGTCTGGAACAGTCTATATTCTGGACTATAGAGCAGTCTATACAACAGTCCATAGCCGGGACTGTAGAACATTCCATAATCTAGACTAAAGAAGGGAATATAGTCTTTTCTGTAGTCTAAACTATATTTGGTACTCTTTTAGTTTGTGGTTTCAGTTTTGTCTTTTGTCTTCATTTTTATTACTTCTTTAACAGTTTGTTAAATATTTTGTAACTATTCTTTTTAAAATGTCTCTGCTTTTAACTTACATAATTCTTTGTAATATTACATAACGGTTTTTATGTTACGAATATTTTTGCTTAGTTTTAGTTCTATTACGTTTTAGATGATTATTATGCATTTTCTATAGTTCATTACCCTTTTAGAAATGGTTTAACAAAGTTAATGTTTATTTTATTTCTAAGACATTTATTAGTTAAGTTTTCATACTCTCATAAACAAGAATCGTTAAATATAATTTCCAAATAATAAAGTCAATGCTTACGTATGTATAAAACCACATTAGAATGTATGAAATATTATTATGAAATGAAAACATATAGTCTGCTTTAACTATTAATTTAACTAAAAATATAAAAAATTCTAAAAAAAAAAGAAACTAAGAATTTCTTTTTAAACATAACAATATTTTATGACTTGATTACCGCATGCAATTACCACATAATATGATCTAACTGTAGAGCAACATGCCACCACACCATGACACCAAGCACTCTACCTACCACCTCATCAACAACTGAGTCTGAGAATGGTAACAAAACTTACAAAAAAACCGAAATAGTTATATTTTAAAATAAACAAAGACAGTTAACTGATGTATTATTATACAAAAGTTGAAAAAGTAAAAAAAAAAAAAAAAATGAAACAAAACCCTGTTATTAAAACTTATATATTTACCTTTCGGTGGTTGCTTGCTTAGTTAGTGGGTTCAGTTTGTAGCTGTTCTTGTTACACTTCTTCCTTCTTCTTTCTTGAAAAAGAACAGCCAGCCTTCATTTATTTTCTAATATCAACATCATGGTTTGTTTTATGATTATTTCCGCTTGAATTAAGTAACAATAACACGACATTACTCTATAATAAAAAGAAATAAACCGAAAAAAAGACACAATTAACTAAAGAAAAAATTACATTTCTATTTTATTTTTTATTTTTACACAACACACCAAAATTCCAACAATATAAACTACGACACCCAAATTGTTGGCAATAATAACACCACAAGAACAACGGAAGAATGTACATAATTTAAGATTAAAGTGGAAAAATAAAGTAACAAGTGCAATCATGACATAAAAAATAAAACAAGTAAAACAAAAAAAGACACAGAATTTTTATTACAATGTTTGCTACATGCAATGTAACCTGTTGTTCAAAAAAAAAAAAAAAAAAAAACAAAAAAACATCTAAGAGGAAATCAAAAGACTTAAGCTACCAACAGTCTTAGAAACGGCATAATTTTTTGTTTAGAATGTTGAATCTAGCAAAATTTTGCATAATTTTTTATAAGAAAAGAAAAGATTTTACATAGAAAATTATTGACACAAATCAAAAATACAAGAAAAAAAACTTAAATAAATAAGACAAGCAGATGGATGGACAGACAGACAGACAGACAGACAGACAGACAGACAGACAGACAGACGGACGGACGAACATACATAAGACAGACGGACGAAGAATCAAAAACAAAAATGTTTAGAAGACAGGTGGATTATAGACTAGATTATAAACTAGACTATAGGCTAGACTATAGGCTAGACAATAGGCTAGACAATAGGCTAGACTTAGACTAGACTATAGATTAGACTATAGAATAGACTATAGACTAGACTATAGACTAGACGATAGACTAGACTATAGACTAGACTATAGACTAGACTATAGACTAGACTGTAGACTAGACTATAGACTAGACTGTAGACTAGACGTAGACTAGACTATAGACTAGACTATAGACTAGACTAAAGACTAGACTATAGACTAGACTATAGACTAGACTATAGACTAGACTATAGACTACTATAGACTAGACTATAGACTAGACTATAGACTAGACCTATAGACTAGACTATAGACTAGACTATAGACTAGACTATAGACTAGACTATAGACTAGACTATAGACTAGACTATAGACTAGACTATAGACTAGACTATAGACTAGACCTATAGACTAGACTACAGACTAGACTATAGACTAGACTATAGACTAGACTACAGACTAGACTATAGACTAGCTAGACGACTAGACTACAGACTAGACTATAGACTAGACTATAGACTAGACTATAGACTAGACTATAGACTAGACTATAGACTAGACTATAGACTAGACTATAGACTAGACTATAGACTAGACTATAGACTAGACTATAGACTAGACTATAGACTAGACTATAGACTAGACTATAGACTAGACTATAGACTAGACTATAGACTAGACTATAGACCAGACTATACACTAGACTATAGACTAGACTATAGACTAGACTACAGACCTAGACTATAAGACTAGACTATAGACTAGACTATAGACTAGACTACAGACTAGACTATAGACTAGACTATAGACTAGACTATAGACTAGACTATAGACTAGACTATAGACTAGACTATAGACTAGACTATAGACTAGACTATAGACTAGACTATAGACTAGACTATAGACTAGACTATAGACTAGACTATAGACTAGACTATAGACTAGACTATAGACTAGACTATAGACTAGACTATAGACTAGACTATAGACTAGACTATAGACTAGACTATAGACTAGACTATAGACTAGACTATAGACTAGACTATAGACTAGACTATAGACTAGACTATAGACTAGACTATAGACTAGACTATAGACTAGACTATAGACTAGACTATAGACTGGACTATAGAATAGACTATAGACTAGACTATAGAACTATAGACTAGTCTATAGAAACTATAGGCTAGTCTATAGACTAGTCTATAGACTAGATTATAGACTAGTCTATAGACTAGACTATAGACTAGACCTATAGACTAGTCTATAGACTAGACTATAGACTAGACTATAGACTAGACTATAAACTAGACTATAGACTAGACTATAGACTAGACTATAGACTAGACTATAGACTATACTATAGATTAGACTATAGACTAGACTATAGACTAGACTATAGACTAGACTATAGACTAGACTGTAGACTAGACTATAGACTAGACTATAGACTAGACTATAGACTACACTATAGACTACACTATAGACTACACTATAGACTAGACTATAGACTACACTATAGACTAGACTATAGACTAGACTATAGACTAGACTATAGACTACACTATAGACTAGACTATAGACTAGACTATAGACTAGACTATAGACTAGACTATAGACTAGACTATAGACTAGACTATAGACTAGACTATAGACTAGACTATAGACTAGACTATAGACTAGACTATAGACTAGCTATAGACTGGACTATAGACTAGACTATAGACTAGACTATAGACTAGACTATAGACTATAGACTAGACTATAGACTATACTATAGACTAGACTATAGACTAGACTATAGACTAGACTATAGACTAGACTATAGACTAGACTATAGACTAGACTATAGACTAGACTATAGCTAGACTATAGACTAGACTATAGACTAGACTATAGACTAGACTATAGACTAGACTATAGACTAGACTATAGACTAGACTATAGACTAGACTATAGACTAGACTTAGACTAGACTATAGACTAGACTATAGACTAGACTATAGACTAGACTATAGACTAGACTATAGACTAGACTATAGACTAGACTATAGACGACTATAGACTACTAGACTAGACTATAGACTAGACTATAGACTAGAACTATAGACTAGATAGACTAGACTATAGACTAGACTTAGACTAGACTATAGGACTAGACTATAGACTAGACTATAGACTAGACTATAGACTAGACTATAGACTAGACTATATAGACTTAGACTATAGACTAGACTATAGACTAGACTATAGACTAGACTATAGACTAGACTATAGACTATAGACTATAGACTAGACTATAGACTAGACTATAGACTAAACTATAGACTAGACTATAGACTGACTATGACTAGACTATAGACTAGACTATAGACTAGACTATAGACTAGACTATAGACTAGACTATAGACTAGACTATAGACTAGACTAGAGACTAGACTATAGACTAGACTATAGACTCTAGATATAGACTAGACTATAGACTAGACCATGCTGTTGACTAGACTATAGACTAGACTATAGACTAGACTATAGACTAGACTATAGACTAGACTATAGACTAGACTATAGACTAGACTATAGACTAGACTATAGACTAGACTATAGACTAGACTATAGACTAGACTATAGACTAGACTATAGACTAGACTATAGACTAGACTATAGACTAGACTATAGACTAGACTATAGACTAGACTATAGACTAGACTATAGACTAGACTATAGACTAGACTATAGACTAGACTAGACCATGCTGTTGACTAGAATATGGTCCTTTATATAGTCCAGACTATACATCCTACAGTTGCCCCGACTATAGACTAGGCTATGTTTCAGATTATAGTCTAGTTTCTGGGCCTGATTATAATCGAGATTATAGATTATGTTAATTTTAATTTGCCAACTATTTAAAGTAGTTAGTTTCATGTTATAAACTTTTAAACTAAACTAATTAGAACATAAAACGAAACCTGACTTTCTTTCTTTCTTTACACAATGATTTATTAATCTCTAAATAGCTGACTAAAACATTTGCTATCTGTAACTTTATTACTCATACCTGTCAATAACATGATTTTTATGGTCAAATACTTCCTTTTGCTAAAAATATTTATTTGCTTTCATTTCAAGATCTTAAAAAAAAGCAACCAAAATACTAAAACAAGAACTAATAGCAGATAATAAATTTCAAAAAACCAACATTTAAAACACTTTTATTTTTGTTTTAGGATGAAAATGGGTTAACAAAAAAAAAAAATCTACATAATGACGATAATGATGTTAATATGAGGTCATTATTTGTTTTGGATTGAACGTAAAGTGTCTAAATTAATTTTTGTGTTTTGTGAGGTGTTTATTTTAAAGATTAAATGAAAAAAATATGACCTAGTAAAATATATATTTGATGTTTTTTTTTGAAAGAAATTCTTAACTGCGAGTTCTAAACTACAAATTAAATCAAACAATGAATGAATTTTGAGGTGGTAGCTTCACTAACAAATGATTAAGCATGACTGCTGTAGTCGGACAGAATTCGCTGAATTGTAAAGAAACAAAAAAACTAATATGCAAATTATTAACATATTTTTATAGTTTATAAGTATGTAAAATGGCTAATAATTTATTTTAACGGTTTATTTTTACTTTCACATCTGTTTTGGTTTGATTTTTTTTTTTGTTTATTTTCAGTTATGAAGAAGTTAATAATCTTTTGAGTCTAATAATAGTGAATGAAAATGAATCAAGTGGCTGTAGAATACTCTATAGTAGGCAGATAAATTTTTAACAAGAGTTATCGAAACTGCAGCAAACCATTTAGACTGAAAGTTATTAAAATGTTTGGGCAGAGTACTTCTTCCCCTTGATTTTCTTTTTTTAATGCTTAACATCATATAAACATTCATTGTAGGGCTTTCACTTGATCACTTTCAACTTCTTGTTTCACTACTTTATTCTGACTCACTTTTCTTCCCCCAGTTTAGCTTTCTGGTCAACGCTTTTTTTCAAAAAAGAATGTTTTATTATTTTTGTTTAACAGCAACTAATATTTGTTATTAATTATATACATTGTTTTTTGTTAATAACTAGTTTATGTTCTTTTTTGGTTCTTTTTTGTTTGCTTCTGCTCAAGTGTTGTACCAAAAAACAATTTAAAAAAAAAATTTGTTTAACTGGTCAAAAGAAAAAGTTCATAAATGACTAAACATTAAATACAAACTTAATGTTTTTTTTTTTTTCATTTATTTTTAGAAGAAAATTATCTAGCTGTACAAGTTTCTTTTTTCTCTACAAATTTGTTAAAAATTTGG